GGGGGGTGGGAGCGTGGGCGGCTTCCCTCGGTCTGCGGCCGTCGGAGGATAGCGCGCCTGCGAAAGCCGTCGCGGTCGCTGCCTCTCCTCCCCGTTTCTCGCTTCAGCTGCCGACGGTTTCTACGTGGAGGGTTAACTGTCAGCAAATGGACTGTGGTAATCGCTCTTCGGGCAGAGGTACTGAATGTTTGGCCGAGTGGCGTATTTTTGCCCACAGATTACCAGACGCCCTTCCAGTGGATGCCATCGTTTCTTTAGGTTAAGGGAAATAAAGCAAACCCAAAGGGAAGTACAAAGTCTGCGCTGCAGAGAGCTTTTTCTCCTCCTTGGCTCCGCTTGGTTTCTGTTGGGCTCTACTTCTGTTGTGCCTAATTAGTGCATTTGTAGTACCTTTAACTTGCTCCTGTGTTTACGTTGCTGTTCCATGAAGAGGCCTCCAGCAAGGGGGTGTTTTAGCGAGAGGAGCAGGTAGGAGCACTTGAACTCGCTTGAGCCATTTCCTTTGGCTTTGACAAATTGTCTCAATAGTCAAAGTCAGAGGTGGGAAGCTTGCAAATTCTTTCTCTGAATTGCCACTGCATCCTTCTTCATGGGGTTTAAGGCCCTCCCTTTTCCCCCAAAAGACAATTTTTCTTGTCTTTCTGAGGACAGTTGTGGGTAAAATGCAGCTTTTGAAAGATCCTTCTGCATGTGACCTATAGGCTGAGAACTCTGTTCTGGTGCTGCTTAGGGCAGATGAGACTGGTCCCGTGAGAGGTGGCGAAGGTGTGCTCCTAGCGCTGCGGGGCTCCCTCCGTTCCTAACGCGCTCCGCTGAGATGGAGCTTAGGTGCTTGTCTTGGCGGAGCCTACGCTGCTGTCGTTTGAGGATGAAAAAGAAGTCTGTCTGGTCTTATGAGACTGGACTGTTATTACCATATAAGTTTAGAGATTTTGAAAGTAAATGAAGAAATCAAATACTGAGCTAGATTTTAAGGAAATGCAATGATTTGGCGAAATACCAGGACTCATTAGTCATGGTATTGCATTTGGGGAGATGATGATGACGGGAAAAGAAAAGTGTGAGCCTGGCTTCTCTGCGCTGGCAGGGAGCGGCAGAGAGATGAGGTGCAGGGCCAGGTCCCTGAACTAGCTGCGCTCTGCGGCATGCAGCTGGGTCCCCGGCAGTCCAGCAGCGGGAGCCACCAGCTGCTGAGTGTGCATGATCCCTGAGCATGGAGCCACGGCAGACCTCCAGTGAACCGCAGCGTTGCCCCTTCTTCCGTGCGAGGCTTCATCTTCGCTCTGCATATGGTATACGGAGGGAGGAGGTCACTGGGGGAGAGGCTGCCTACCTCTCTCTCATTTGCCTTTAATTGAATCAGTTTTAATGGGCTCTGTTTGGAAATCTAAAAGCTAAAAGATAAAAAGCCTAATGCTTCCTAATTACCTACCAGCCAAAATCAATAATAGCAGGCAGCACATTAGGGCGTCTTGATGCCCCTGTCTCAGCAGAGGGAAGTTCCCCTACCTCAGAAGCGTGGGCTCGTGGCTTCAAAGCACGAGCCAGACCGTGAGGGGTTCTGTGAGGCTGGTCACTGGGGAGAAGAACAGACTACCTTTTGCTCTGGCCTGCGTGTGTGTGAAATCCATCTGAGTAAGTTGTGCCTTTCCTCCTCAGAAGAAGATGATGGGGTCCTGGAAGGACTGGATGAGTTTTACCCAGAAGAACAAGTCGCTGTGCAGAAAAAAAAGAAATCCAAGAAGCTGAAAGACAGCAAGGCTTCCAAAATCAAGAGGAGGAAGAAAGAGGTAATGCTGCATGCTCTAAAATGAGGCTGAGGGTTTCCCGTTAGGCTTGACATAGGGGCAGACTGCTCAGGAGAGCCATAGTAGCTGTTTGCAAGCATTGCGCAGAGGTCTGTGGCTGAAAAAGGCTAGGCGTTTATAAGGATGCAACAGGTGGATGTGAGACACCTCATCGTAGCTCGTTCTCTGGATGTCTGGGTACTCCCCTGACCCTGGCAGAACGTTGAGAGCCAGGGCTTGAGCAGCTCTTGCCCAATTCTGATGCTCTGTTGTTGTCGCTTCTGTGCTTTGTTTTCCTCACAGTACATACAGGATAGTGGCTCATGCGTGGAGAGAAGAGTCTATAATGTAAGTGTGAGGATGTTAATGCCCTGTTACAAGCAGGCGCTCTCAGGCATGAGCTATGCAGCCAGTCTGAGGAGATAGATGTTGTCTCCAAAAGATGTTGTCTCTGACCTTGGAATAGCACTGTCTGAAACTGGCTGTCAGGTGTGGATCAAGACACTTTAACTTATATGGGAAGAGCTGAAAACTCTCTTGTTTTCTCTTTATCTCCCTGAGATCTTCTCACGTGATATGGGGAAACTGGGAAGATGTGCCTGCAAATCCTTTTCTAAAGATACTTGTCACTTGATCCTACCTGGGTGGCTTAGGATTTTAATTCTGCAGAAGTAGCATCCACAATTTCTTGTGTGCTGTTTGCTCTTTGTTTCAAATAACTATTACAGCAGAAAGATCCTGTTTTAGCTTTACGTTTTTGTTTCTGAAATGGTGGAGATTTTTAATTTGTCAAATGCGTTGCCCAAAAAAAGAAACAAACGGTGTGGAAATTTCCACTGTGCAACACATCAAAGCGGCGCTTAGCCTTCATTCCACTTAGGCAGCCTTAAGATGAACCCATCTTTCCAGCCAGCTTGGTCAAGGGTGAGGAAGCTCACCCTGGAAATGGGTATGGTAAAGGTTTGTTCACTCCAGGAAATATGTCTTATTAGTAATTTCTAGGTGTTAGATAGGGAAGAAATGGCAGTTGTTCCTTTCTGAAGGGATGCAGCTGCAAGGCCCCTCCGGGGAGGTGCTTGGTGGGAGGAGGCAAGCATGCCCCTCCAAGATGCCTCCAAGGTTACTGGCTGTGGGCAATGCTTCCGATAAGGCATGTGGGGAAGCGCGTGGCGTGCGAGGAGGGGGATTGCTCCAGGAACGTCTCCTGCGGAACGCTTTGTGTGTCAGGAGCAGCAGACTGGGCATGTTTGTGCTTTTCAGAGAGACTCTTGGGCTTCGACTCCCTTTGCAGGGTGTGCTTCGAAATGGTTGCAGAGCTGGGTGCTGATGTGGGCAAAGTACTGGTACAATTCTCAGTCCATTAAGTTGTTGGAGAGGCCTGAGGGTGCATTTCAGGAGGACAGCAGACAGTTACTCTTCTTCCCCAATGACCACTTGCAGGACAGTTATGTTTTAGTGCTTCTCCTGTATGTTTGTACCCTTCAGTGCTGTGCCAGGAATACAGACTGCCACCAAATTTGACATTGATATGACAGTGACATAATGAGAGACAAGGAGAGGACATCTGCGTTCTAAGCCTTCCTCTTTCTAGTCGCCGGCATTTTGAGATCTGTTCTTTCTAATATGTCTCCTTTAATGCTCAAAATTTGTGTGATAAATATTACTGACAGTCCTTAATCTTGTGAGGGGTATGTGAATAATCTTGCTCTCCCCGTTCTAAATTCCTTATCCCACACTTTACACGTTGGATGTTGAGTTGGCAGTTAGACCTTATAAACGGACTGAATTGCAAGCATGAGGAAGCTCTCTCCTGGCGTCTTCACTGTAGAGATTTGAAAGAAATAGAGCCAGTAGGAGATGTGCAGGCAGGTGTTTTGTTTTGTTTGCAAAACAGCCTTTTGTGTTGATGAACTTGGGACTCCTAGTATCCCATCTGCTCACATCGGGTAGTGATAATGCTACGCCCTCTTCTCCTTACCAGCACAGTGTTCAGTCTGTAGTGCATATATTATTATATGGCATGATAACATCCTTACCTGTTTGTTGAAGGTCTCTTGCCAGGGTTGCGCAGACTGCAGTGCAGGACCTCCTTTACAGTTGTCTCTGGTGGTAGACAGTAAGCCTTCCTGGCACACACTGTGTCAATGTCATCTACAGCTCACGTCTCTTGACAGAAATAGATACCAACACATTGGAAGTGTGACCAGTGCAGGGGTTGCAGGTTTCTCTGGAGATAAGTGTTAGCTTCGCTTGTCCAGGGCATTTTATAAGCAAGATAGAGAGTAGAGACTTTTCAGGGTTTTGCATGTGGAAGGACTTTTGGCTTCTTTAAGAGTGCAAAGACAAGGTGTCGTGTCACTGAGTCCCGTATCGCCTGGATGGTCCGTTTGCCTTCGCCTGCTTTTAACCCTAGGGCTCTCCTGCACATCTCGGCTCAGATGGCTGGGTGGCTGTCCTGCCCTAGGCACTGCTGCCTCTCTGTCACCAGCTGCTGCTGCGTGCTGTGTGGAGGCCTGATTGCGCCTCTCAGTAGGGGGGTACGAGGCACCTTTACTTTTGCCTCTGCCTGGCTAAGGGACGTGGCACTTGTTTGTGCAAGCCAAGCTTGTCCACGTAGGCTGCCGGGCTCGCAGACCCGCTGCGGCTGCACTCTGTAGGTGCCAGCCGCTATTGGGTGCCCATGGGGCAGGTTAGGGTAGCACATTAAAATGCTTTTTCTACTGATGGGAGCATAATGAGCTGCTTATTTAAAGAAAGCTGTTTCAATCCTACACTTTATTGTCTGACAGTCTTTGAGTAGAAGTGACAGCCCACAGGAAGCTTTTTTTTTTCTTTCCTCATGGTCATGGTAATGTTTTTCTCTTTCTGCGGATATCTCACAAAGCTATCTCGGGTCGTCTGAGGAAGTGCATCTTCCATTGGTGGAATTATTTTTTAATGCAGCTTTTCTGTGGGAGGGGAAATAAAATAAAAACCTATGCTATTTTTACCTCAGATAATTTTCTTTTAATGTTACCCTGCCTGAAGCTAAGGGAGTGACACATGCAGCTTGTGCAGCGTCTGACTACTTGATTATTGGGGGAGGGGAGAAAATAATTTGATGAGCATCAAATTTTTTTTTTGGTAATTAATGCCTTGTGCGGTCAGTGTCAATGAAACTGGGTTCTGCCTGCGTTGGAGACTGATCGATCTTTTGTCTAAGCCAGTGGAAAGTTAGTGCTGTAGCTGTCGGTAGGCAGTGAGCTGGGTTTCTAGCCAGCACCAGAGCTGCATTTTGGGAGGAGGAGAGAACAGTTAGGGAGGAGATGCTTGAGCTGGCCTTTGTTCTCATAAGCTCCTTCTCAGAGTTCTGTGGAGTAAATGGACTTCACCCTTTTTAAAAGAAGGGGATTTTGGGAATTAACTGTGAGTCTGTGATGTACTGCCAGTGCCTAGAACCATGGCTTCTGCACTCTGAAATCCCCGTGTGTTTGTCGTTAGAGCACTGTAGCAGGAGTGCTGCCACGTTGTGGTTTTATGGGAATTCATTTTTATCAGCTGCCTTGCAACTCAGCCACACGTTTGTGGCAGTACTCACTGAAGCTCTGGTGCTAGAAATGGTGCTGCAAATCTGGAGAAAAATCTACATAAAATAGGCAGCCTGCAGTTTGAACCTGAGCATATGTAGATGAAGGTCCTCATCAGACAAGGAGGCAGAGAGAGAGGGGAAATTTCAACCTGTACTGCAGTAGTTACCATGGTAACCAATTATTCAGTGTTAAATTATAACTGTTTATAACACTGGTGAAAGGCTCATTTTTTTCTGAAGCAAGAAGGGCTAGAAATCAGTAATGGCTGCTGAACAAAAATGCCCCTCCATAGTAAGAGCAGTTGATTTTGTGTATTAAAATAAATCAAAGTTCATGCAGCTGTGATGTTAGGCTAGTTGGGAGTTCCCCCGTACGCGGAAGGAGACAGAGATGAGATGACTTGGCAGGTAAAGGGTGCAGCAGGTTGGCTGTCACGGGGTAGGGTGGTTCTTTCAAGCAGCACGGCTAGAAGATTAAAGTAAAATGGCCTCGTGCAGAGCAGAACTCCCGGGGACTGTGGTTGCCGTTAAACGCAGTGGGGCCGCTTCTCTGTTCAGGGAAGCGTGCGGCCCCGGCGGGGCCAGCCCA